GATCGAACTTGACTTCAATATAAAAAAAAAATCGGAAATGACCTCATTTTTAATTTAAATTTGTTGTGTCAACTAGGGGAAAGCCCATTATAACCATAAAACTCTGCAAGTTTTTTATAAAAAAACGGCCATGTGAAACTTTTTAGGTTTTTAAAAAAATATAAATTTTTTAAACTTTAGAAATGTTTCGGTTTTTATGAGCTGATCAGACTGGTGATGTCCTTTGTGATGTTATCTGATAGGAAAAGGGGTGTGGTGGTTAGGAAATTACACCAAAACCAAAAATTATGTTCCCACTCCATTAACCCCTAATTTTCTTTTGGGGTTTTTCGAAGTTTTTAACAGTTTATCTAATTTTTTAAACATTCATTAATTTTATAAATTTTTTAAAACAATGTTTTTTGATTTTAAAATTCTGAAAAGAGTGTTGTCAATTTTTAAAGTGTAGAGAAATAAAAGATTTTTTTGTATTGTAAGGGTAAATTAAATGATGTAAAAGAAATGTTTTTTAAAAGTTTTAAATTTTAATTTGGGAAAAGGAACTTTAAGACAAAAAATTTTTATAGAGTATAGGAATGTGAAACCCTATGGGGATGACTTATATTTGTAAGTTTTTTTGTGCCATTTTTACTAATTTTTTTTTGGAAAAAAGGTATTATTTGAATTTGATTAAACTTTTTTTTTTTACGGGGGTTGTGTAAATTTCTGAAGTGTGTTTTTCTGGGCAATGTGGGCGTAGCAGGGAGAGGACATCCGTTCCATATAACCTACACAGAAAATTTACCATTGTTCACAAAAAGTATGCCGGTTTTTTCAAAAATTAAAATTATTTCCAAGAATAATTAATTTTGGTGGATAATTTTTGGTAATCAAATTTATTCCCATTAAGTCGCATGTTAAGAATCATTTTGTTAAATACATACCCCCCCAAACTTGCCAAAGTGTGGGGAAAATTTGGAAAACGAAAACTACTGAAAAATCACCCCCAAAATTTTAAAATTCAATTTACCTCTTTTTTTAAATGCCAAAAAATTAAAGAACATAACCTTTTTAAAAAAGTTTAATTTTTTTTAAACTAAAACGAAAGTATCACGAACTTTTTTTTTCCGTAGCTAAATCCGTTTATATATACCCTTTTGCTGACAATATTCCAAACGCTGTTTTTTCTAAACAAAAATCCCCAAACAATTTTTTTCCCCATTTGGATTAATTAATTAGTTATTTAATTATAACAAGACATTTGTTTAAATAAAAATTTATTGTTGAAAAAACTTCATTGGTCATGCATTGGGGGCCGTTTAATAAATATTTGAACCAATTGTTTTGAAGCATGACACCTTTATAAATTGAGGGTCGATTGGATAAAATTTTGTCAGTATTTAAAAAAATAAAAAAATAAATTTTTAAACCAAAACTTTTGTTTAATCAAAAAATTTCACTATGGATAATAATATCTTTATTTATAAGTATTTGTTGCCATTTACCGGTGATAGCTCTACCGGTGATTTGCCGTAACCATTAAAAATGGGGGTTTACAAACGCAAGGTGTGTAGGCTACAAATTTTGGGGGTTTTTTTTTTGGTAATTTTTAAAAATCGAAATAAAAATTATATCCCCGCCAAAATAACCGGTATATATGTCTCTTAAAAATCATTCTCTTTTAGTGGGGGAAGCCAAAAAACATTTCTGTGAATGTTCTGAGGTTGTTTTCCCCCAACTGCTTTGATATGCTCTTTTAAAAATTTTTAAAATTTAACGCCGCCTTTTTTTTTTTTTTTTTTTTTTGAGCCACCCAACACTTTTCCCCCCCAAAAAATGAAAACAACTAAAAAAAAAAAATGGCCTTATGGCTTTTTAATTTTTTGGACAAAAATATAAGTGGGGAAAAAGAAAAAAAAGTTGAACTGCTTAATGTTTATTTTTTTTTAATTTGGGAATTAAACTTGAAAATCTTTCATTTTAACCCTTTGGGAAAACTTTTGCACTTAAAAAATGACATCCTGAAAAAAAAGGGGGAAACCCCGGGAGGGCATGTATTGCTTATGAATCTCTCAAAATGCTTGTTTTAAATGTACATATAAAAAAATTTTTTAAATTTGAAAATGCTTCAAGTAATTTTTTTATGTACAATTTCCAATAAAAAGTGGTTTGAAATAAAGACAAATACAGTGATTTTAAATTTACGTCTAATTAAAAAAAAAATTTTAGGATGTCTAATTTCCATAGTACATAAAATAATTATTAATAAATAAATTGTTTATGGCATCTTGTTAATGAAACATTCACAATTTTTCCTATAATTTTCCCCCCCGTTTTGCAAAGGGGGGGGAATTAAATTCTGCTTTTTCTGTGTAGTTGGTAAATTGTCAGTCTGTCAGTCTGTCCATCAAAAAATTTTTAACCTTATAACTTTTGATTTAATGAAGCTATACTTTCATATTTCACATTTTTCCCTTTATACAACCTTTTTTTGGGTACCCCAAAAATTAACCTTTTGGCCTTGCCCTTTGGGAATTTGACCCACTTTTACAAAAAATTGTAACATTTTACTTTGGCCATTACTTTTAATGGGACTGGGTTTCATATTCCCACTTTGTATTATTTGTAAAAACCTTAATAAAAACAACCTTCATTTTTACCTTGACCTTGGAGATATATATTATAAAAAACTTTAACCTTTACCATTTTTTGTGTAATAGGGCTTTCAACTTCAAAATTTAACCTTAAAGCCCTTTTCATTGGATACCAATAACTTTTTTTTCCCTTGTTGGATTTTAAAACTTTCAAAAAACTTTACCCTTTGGTCACAACTTTTAAACAGTAAAACTATATTTTTATATTTCACATATGTATTCCTTGTTGCAAATTTTAGGGATACAAACAAATTTCCTTTTTTTGACCTTGACCTTAATTTTACGTATTAAAAAAACTTTAACCTTGACCATAATTTTTAACGGTGATGGCTAGGGCTTTCGTACTTCACATATGTAATTTTGAGAAATTTTATTAGATACCAATAACTTTTCCCTTTACCTTACATTAATTTTTAACTACTATTAAAAAAGTTTATAGGTACAACTTTTATATAAAAACGGGTTTTTTTTTAAATTGTATTTTTGTGGGGTTTTTATTGGATATCAACAATTTTCCCTTTTTATTATTAAAATTTTCGTACTTATAAAAAAAAAACTTTTACCCAAAGACAAAACGGGGGCCCACAATTCTTTAATTTGCGTTTTTTTTACAGAAAATTTTTGCATTTTTTCAAAATCATCAAAAAAACGATAGCTTTTTTTAAAAAAACCCCCGTTTTGTGGCAAAGGTTAAATAATTTTCGTTACCTGAGCCAAAAGCATCCTTGGGTGAACGGGTTAAGTTTGAAATAAGGGCCATGCCATCATTCAAGGGGAGAAAAATTTAAGGTCAAGAATGGTTAATTTTGGGGTTTTCCCTAGCTAAGATTCCACTAAATGAAGGACCTTTGGAATAGTTTTAATGTCTATATATGGATTTACACCTCCTTAAAACAATTTTTGATGAATTAAAATCAGGAATTTTTTTAAAGTTTTTGTACATTTTTATTTGATTTATGCAAAAATTTTAAATTGGATATCTTTTCAAAACATTGGTAAGGCATGCTGATTTTTTGTCTATAAACATGTAAATATATTATAATAAGTTTAAATTTGGAATATCTGTGAAATTATAGTAGGTAAGGTACGTTGCATATGCCCTTTAATGAAAAATTGGTGAATGTTTTAAAAATCTTCTTCTCAAGCACCACTGTGCCGGGGAAGATGAAACTTATAGGGAAACATCCTCAGGTAGTGTAGATTTCAAATTTGTTCAAATCTTGCCCCTGGGGAATGAGGGCCACAATGGCTCCCAAAATTTACATAGAAATATATAAGAAAATTCTTTAAAGATCTTCTTCTCAAGAATAGCAAAGCCATAATTGAGATAATTTTATTGGAAGCATGCTAGGTAGTGTTGGATCAAGTTTGTTCAAATCATGACCCTGGGAATAGGGCAGGGCCACAATGACCGATCAAAGTTTTACATAGACATTTATAGGAAAATCTTAAAAATCATTTTTTCAAGAACAGCAAAACCATGATTGGTCATGGGAACTTTTGGATTTAAACTTTTCAATAATAAACCAAAATTCTCTTTTTAGCCACAGTGCTTAGGTGAGCAATGTACCCAAGGGCCTCTTGTTAATGAAAATTGAGCTATATTTTTTGTCATCATTAAACATAGAAGATTAGACAGATATCAAAATTTCCCAAAAATAAAGAAGTGTTTGTGCAGTGTTTTCCATTGAATTTAATTTGCAATATGTACAATTTGTTCAGTATAATGTTATAGAAGAAACACTATCCCTGATATGCATTTCAGTGCTGGAAATCACAAATTGAAGTTTTATAATTATGTACAACTGATGGAATTAAAATCACTTTATATGCTTGTACACTGTCAGTGTGTTGGAGGCATATTGTCCTACACAGAGATTGTTCTCATCATCCACACACACACTATAGGGAATGTATAACCCTTGTTGTTGGGGAGTAATAAAGACAAGAACTGACCATCCTGATCAAGGAGATGAACAGTTTGACGAAAATCACAAAAGGTTTGGGGACGAGGACATAGTACAGATTCCATGGGAGGGAAACCCTTTACTCTGCCCTTTTTGGAGAACCTGTGTTGTTATTTATTCACCCCCACTACCCATTAAAATTCATGCAGTTTCTCCTTGATGTTTACTGTGATGTATATTGGAAAACTATCAGTTTCTGCCCTTTTGTTATCCCTCTGTTTTTCTGTAGTTTTTTTGTTGTTTTTCCTGTATTTACCCATTTGTCTCTTCATCACCCCCACCAGTAAGTCCCCTTTTATGTGGGAGGAGGTTGCTGGGGGGTTCCATTCCCCATTTTAATGAATTCAGTATTTTATTATCCTGTGTTATCCTATTGATACATTCTTGTTTTTTTTTAAAGATCAGATCCCGTCCTGTGTGAATGTGTGATAACCTCTATCTCCACCACTGGTCTTTATTTTTGTACACTTTCCCCCAGTAGTCTGTTTGGAAAAGATTCCCTTCTTTCACTACCCAGAGTCTGCCTGGTTGATCTGGTGATCATGGAATACACCATCAACACCTGCTCATTAACTCCCTTCTTTGGGGACAAGGCAGATAGAGACAAATGTTTGTTTCTTGTCAGATTTCACGTTTTATTTTTACTTGTAGATTTTATTAATGTAAAAAAAAAACAGTTCCCATGGGCTTTACTCTTCTTAATGTTTCCTTTCTATTTTTTTCAGTTATCTTCCCTAGTAATTTAGAAACCCCTTTTTTTTATTTTGCAGAGGAAAACTGGTTTAAAGGTTTTTTGGTTTTTGGGATGGATTTTATTTGTAAGTTCTTGGAAATTAGTTGTGAAGTTAGTGAGCTCAGTAAGGACAGGTAACTCTGGAACTCTTTAACAAATGAGATGGCAATATAATCATAAATGTCTTCTCTTATCTGTAATTTCTCCAATAATACTTTTTTTGGTTAATTTTCCATATTTTTAGAGAACTGTGTAATGTTTTTGAGAGACTGGGCTTCAGCCTTCATGGATGTTGTTTCTGTTATTTTTAAATTCTTGGCATCTTCCCAAAATTTTCTCTGTAAATCCTGTGAGGTGGAATGAAGTAATTATGGATTTTAAAGTTTCCCCCTTTGGGATTTTAAAATTTTCTGTGAGATAGTTTCTAAATCATAAAAGGGGTTTTTATTGTAACACATTTTGAACATAAAGGGATATTGCATTCCTTTTAAAAAATACTTTTGTGGGATGGATTTTGCATTTCTGCACAGGAAGTTGTGTTTGAGTTATAAAGGACTACCTCATGGGTTTATTTTTCTGAAATCTTAGATGCCCACTGCATTGTTTACAACTTTTAAAAAAAATTTCAAAATTACAATTTCTCCACAATCTTCAACACCACACTTGAAAAATGTTAAAAAAGGTTATTTTTTTTTTGGGTAGTGCCATCTAAAATTAACATTAAAAAGTTTGTTACATGCATATGGATTTCAAAATTGTAACAGTTTTACATATTAAATTATATGTTTAATTAAACTAAAATCAATTTCAGAAAAAGATATATACATATTATTAATCAGACTAGAAGGAATCCCCCATAAAATGTAAATTTTTAAATTCTTCTGTTGTATTAAATGTTTTAAACTTAGATTATCTTTAAAAAAAGGACTTAGTAGCAAAGTGCCCCTTTTCAAAAAAATATAAATTTCATCCTCGGGCAGGATCCCAATATTATTTTGAAACAAAATGGGGTATTTGCAGCCCCTCTATTGACAAAAAATTAAATGTCTAAATTTTATTCAAATTTTTGTATGTAACTAATCACTGACATTTTACCCTTTTTAAAAATTATTTTTAACAAAAATAGAAACTTGATTTAAAAGATGTAGGTCTTTTATTGGGGTAGGGGTAATGTTTTCATTCAATTCCCATTGCATTTTAACCCCGCCCCATCTTTGAAACCCTTAAAATAACAAGCGCAATTAAAATTTTTTCCATTGGCTGGTCACTGTATTCATTGAAATTACCTATATGTGAAAGGAGAAAATTGTACCTAATTGCGCTCACATGCTATTTTTTAAAAAATTGTAAAATCTAGTTGCCCTTTCCCATTATAAACAGATCGACGGAACTAGATTTTCTGATGTAAGAATGAATTCATATGCTAATCGAGGCACAGGCGATGCTTTCTAACTGACCAATCAGCTAAATGAAATTCGTTACAGTAGTACCACAAAAATACTATGGAAACATGCTTAGAATTTTACTGCTTTCCGATATCTTTTTATGTATTTGAGTACAGTTTCCATCTCATTGTCCATTTCCGAGACCACGGTAAAATTTATTTGGTCCCCGAAAATAGGTGCCTTTTCTATCCGTTTTCGTCCGTCATCGTGCGTCGTGCGTTGTGCGTTGTGCGTCGTGCGTTGTGCGTTAAAATTTGGACATTTTCAGCTTCTTCTTCAAACCCCTGAACCAATTTCAACCAAATTTGGCACAAAGCATCTATGGGTGAAGGGGAACAAAAATTGTGAATTTCATGATCCCTGCCCCCAAGGGGCCTGAGGGGGGGGGCCAAAACCACTAAAATTAATGCAATCTTTAAAAATCTTCTTCTTTACTCCTGGGCATCAAGCAGTCAAACTGTTTGCATGAATGTAATCAGCAATGAGTCCTCTAACAAAATTGTGAAATTCATGGCCCTGGGGTCAGGGGTTTATGCTAGGGCGGGGCTAAATAAGTAGCTAGTGTAAATGCATTATTTCTTTGAAAATCTTCTTCTCTGCTCCTGGGTATTAAAAAAACTAACTAAGTACATAGTAATGATAGCAAGAGTGCCTTCCAGAATTGTGAATTTTTGGCCCCAGGGTCAGGGGTTCTAGTGCTAGGGGGGGGGGGGGGGGGGGGGTATTATGTAGTTTAAATACATGATTTCTTTTAAAATTTTTTCTCTGCTCCTGGGTATTAAATAAACTAACTAAGTATATAATTATGGTGAGCAAGAGTGCCTTTACTAATATTGTGAATTTTTTTTGGCCCTAGGATTAGGGGTTCTGGTATTAGGGGGGGCTCTTTTGATTATATAGTGAAAATACATGATTTCTTTGAAAATCTTCTCTGCTCCTGGGTATTAAATAAACTAAGTCATATTATGATGAGCAAAAGTGCCTCTACCAAAATTGTGAATTTTATGGCCCCAGGGTCAGGGGGTTTTAGTGCTAAGGGGGGGGGGGTTTTTTTGGTCACCTAGTACTCAGGTGACCTATTGCTATCTGTTTTTGTCCGTCTTCGTCCGTCGTTCGTCGTACGTCGTTGTCGTTCGTCGTCAATCGGTCGTAAATTTTAAAATTTTCAGCTTCTTCTCTGAAACCACTGAACCAATTTCAACCAAATTTGGCACAAAGCATCTATGGGTGAAGGGGAAAAAAATTGGAATTTCATGATTCCTGCCCCCCTGGGGCCTGAGGGGTGGGGCCAAAACCACTAAATTTAACAATCTTTAAAAAACTTCTTCTTTACTCCTGGACATTCAGCAGTCAAACTGTTTGCGTGATTGTAATCAGCATTGCGTCCTTTACCAAAATTGTGAAATTCATGGCCCTGGGGTCAGGGGTACTTGTGCTAGGGCGGGGCTAAAAAAGTATATAGTGAAAATGCATTATTTCTTTAAAAATCTTCTTCTCTGCTCCTGGGTATTAGATAAACTAACTAAGTACATAGTTATGATGAGCAAGAGTGCCTCTACCAAAATTGTGAATTTTATGGCCCCAGGGTCAGGGGTTCTGGGGTAAGGGCGGGGCTCTATTGATTATATAGTGAAAATACATGAATTCTTTGAAAATCTTCTCCTCTGCTCCTGGGTATTTAATAAACTAACTAAGTACATAGTTATGATGAGCAAGAGTGACTCTACCAAAATTGTGAACTTTATGGCCCCAGGGTCAGGGGTTCTGGGTAAGGGTGGGGCTCTATTGATTATATAGTGAAAATACATGAATTCTTTGAAAATCTTCTTCTCTGCTCCTGGGTATCAAATAAACTAACTAAGTACATAGTTATGATGAGCAAGAGTGCCTCTACCAAAATTGTGAATTTTGTGGCCCCAGGGTCAGGGTTCTGGGGTTAGGGCTGGGCTCTATTGATTATATAGTGAAAATACATGAATTCTTTGAAAATCTTCTCTGCTCCTGGGTATTAAATAAACTAACTAAGTACATAGTTATGATGAGCAAGAGTGCCTCTACCAAAATTGTGAATTTTATGGCCGCAGGTTCAGGGATTCTGGTGTTGGGGGGGTGTATTATTATGCATGTATAGTGAAAAAAACATGAAATCTTTGAATATTTTCTTCTTTGCTCCTAGACTTTAAACAGATGAAATACCTATATAGTTATGAGCAAGGGACCTAACCTTCCAGAATTGTAAATTTCAAGCCCCCAGGGTCAGTTGTACCATAGAGGGGGGGGGGGGGGGGGCTGTACTTATATACTAAAAATGAATGAATTGTTTGAAATGTGCTCCTTGGTATTTATCAAATATTTTTGAAAAGCAAGGATGCCTTTCCAAAAATTGTGCAATGTGTGGATCTAGGCCTAAGAGTAAAGGGTTCATGTGTGGTAGCGGCACAACTGATTATTGCTGAATATTACTGATTTGTTGAAATGCATTTTTTGTTCCCCTACCATGCCTATGGGTATTAAGCAACCAAACTAAGGAACTGTAAAGTGTATAGTTATGATGACCAAATTGTAAATGCTATAGCATCTGGCTTAAAACATGGATCAAATTCAATCACTGGAAAGTTGTTGAATAATGCTCAGGTGACCTATAAGGCCCATGGGCCTCTTGTATACAGTTACAAACAGTTGATAGAATAAACATGATATACATTAGTTTAAAGTTTTGTAGCGTGTTTGGTGAGCAATTGGCTAGGTCTACACGTATTCCCGAATATCGGTGAATACAAGTTTCATGTGTATTTCTTGTCCTAAAAACCGTAAATGCTGAAAATCTATGCATATTATTAAGTATAAATAGCATTGGCTAACCATTATAAAAGTTTGAAATGTAGAAAAGGATAAAAGGTAAATAGACCTAAACCACGTGTTGTGGTAAAATGTAAGCGTAGTTAACCAGCATGTTTTGTTGTTCTGTCATCGGATTGGACAATGAAAAAGTGCGAAATAATAACAATAGCCATATAAGGTCTTCTCGGACACGCATATCCCACTATTGTACTAAGACCCGCCCATTCTCTTGCCATAAAAGAAAATATTCGCACAAACCTGGCCGAATTTAGCTGTGATAGGGTCTAAAAAATCAAAGATAATATACAATTATTGCTGTTTTTGAGGTCAATACAATGATTTAGCCATCTGAGGATACAATATTCACTGAGCCCGAAGGGCGAGGTGAATATTGTACTTCGAAAGTGGCTAAATCATTGTATTGACTAAAAAACAGCAATAATTGTTTTATTATATGATTCACTGATAAAATTATAGAGCTCATTACTTGTTTGCATTTAATTAAACATCGCCAAATACAAGAGAGAAGTAGAATTAAAATGTAAATAAACTTTACCAGTCGTATCAATTTGAAATGTTTTTTTTATCAA